CTGAAGATGACTACCGCACAGGTTGTCAAAATGTCAGTCACTGTCAACAACAACAGTCCTATTCAGGACTACGTTCACCCGGACGATCAGACTTAACCTACTTTTGAAATGACTCCTGGGTTCAAACCTTTCACGGTTCGAAAGTATGTTGTTTTAATGTAGTGAAGGTGAACATGGCCAAAAATCCCACTTGGGCCTTATAGCTGGATATATCTCAGATTCATTTTTCAGTTTGATAACTTGAAAAAATAGCTTTGAAAAGTTTGGGGTGCGTCTTACAACCGAGTAGCGCGCTTTAAAACAACGGTAGATTAAGAATATTGACCTCATGGAAAGGTGTCAGATAGACATCTATTTGAAATGACTACAGTCCTACATTAGGGTAATGTTAATCTTTCATAACTTAACAAGATTATGGCATTAATAATACTCTTTATGTTGCAATTCACGACGTACACATATGTGGGTAAAAAAACGGAAAAAACGTATTAAAGACTTATTTCCTTGGCGAACAGTTTCTTCAGAAGATCTCTAATTCCAACAGGATTCCCTCAATTTGTGTGTTAGCAAAAACTGTCGCATAAGGTTACCTGACGGTATCCTAGATAGTTTTCCCATAGATATGTAAGCCAAAGAAACAACACCACAGCAACAAGAATGTCCACCATTTTGGAAATTTTGAAGACAAGCGAGCCCGCAATGTAAGCCCAGAATCAATCAATCAATCAAAGATATGCGTGTCTGCGCAGTTTGTCCCAGTCCTACGCAATCGAAGGTCTCCAAGGGTCACTGTTTTGATACATTTCTTTGCGGCAAATGTCTAAGTGACACAAGTGAACACGCAATTGAATGTCCGGTCAGGGTTTCGGTTTATTCGACGGAAAAAAACGATTATTGTCTCTTTGAGATGTCGGGAAGCTATTGAAAGGTAACATCTCCGGTGAAAATGGGTAATGGAGCAAATTCAAGGCCCCAAAATTCTTTGGTAGTGCAACCTAGTCAACGGCACGTTCCTCATAATGGTCAACCTCCTTTGGGATATTCAAGCTCGTATCCCGGTTATTTTGCTAACGGTGGGGATGCCTATGGACAGAGATTTCAACCGCAATACGGCTCTCAGTCTTACTACACGGGAGATTACGGTTCTAGGAACGGCTGGGCTCCCCAGAGTTCTGCTTCGTACGGTTCTACATCGAATGGTTATGGTTACCATGGGACACACGATGAACATCCCAGTTCACATTCTAGGCAAATGCCACCCAGAAGGGACAGGTATGACAGGAATCATCAGGGTACATCACATCAGTCTGCTCTTTCTTCGCATCATCATCCGAAAAGAGCGAGAACTAACGGGCAATTAAGCGGTGGACGTCAAACAGGTTATCGAAACTGGCAAGATGGGAATAAAAGTTCCAGTTCAGACGAAATAGTATTCGAAGTATTTCACTGTATAAAGACAGGAAGGGATTACAGTGTGATCAACGTGGATGGGGTCAGATATCTTGTCAATTCGTGGGATGCAGGTAGAGACATACCTTGCGTTCTTGTGTAGCTGTGCATACTTTTGTGAACATATAACACATTTTAAAACCCCTTGTAAACTATAGTTTTCATACAATTTAACTTCTACCTGACTTGATCATCTACACCCAGCCTTCAGAAAAAAATTTCCAGCCAGACCTTAATCCGGCTTTTATTTGCTTAGAAGATGGAAATAAGAGCTTGAAAAAATAATGACTTAGACGTGCTCATCTTTGTCTGACACAGGCTTATTCTAGAAAAATACTGAAAAGAAACAAGGGAGCAACTGTTAGTTAACATATTGTTTTAGGCCACATCCTAACGAATTCTGATATTTTTGAAACCCATATATATTTTTTCCCATGAATTCGCCTTTCCTCCACACAAAACCAGTGAATTCCCTTACCGAAACCACGTCTTCTTGAAACCAAACTTCAGAATGAATGGTTTAAGACCCCAGCCACACAAATCTTGGTAAAAATATGTGTTAAAAAAATATGCAGATTAATGTGGATGGGGCCTTAGTTGTCTTAGTTGTTATGAATCATCTGAAGGATGCACTCTCTGAAATGGGAGGCACCCCTTGAATAGAAGTAAGTGCCCCTACTCTTTCCCTAAATTAGCCCCCTCTCTCACTGCCTTATTTCTAGAAAGTCTTTCTCCAAGTGATTATGGGCTGCCCTCTCTCTCCTTTCATTAGGTTTTAGTTCACTGTTAATTGGCCATTTACACCCTTACACTGACCAGCTTGTTATAATCAGACAGTCATCTTTGCAAGTAGCCATTTCTCACTGCTTTATGAAACATAAATGTCCTTTAAGAGTTGAGAAAATGTTGACAAAAGATGTACTTTTTTTGTTTTTAACCAAATTCTCCTCATTAGTAGTGAAAGGAATGTTTAATGAGTCTAGCCTTGAGATTTGAGACTTGATTTTTAAAAATTTTGAGAATCAAGAGTCGAATTTTGTATCTCAAAGATTGAGGTGCTAGTGGCTATCAACCCTTTGATTGGTACTGTACCTTATATTTTGTAGTGAGTAAGATGTACTTTAGTTTAGAGGCAGAGGCTAAACTTGTAGCATGGACAAGCATGTTCTGAGCAAGTAAAAAATCAACTGAATGAAAAGAAACTGGTCTCAGTCTTTATTGCCGGTTACCAGAGGAGCCCATAATACTATTCTCTGGGTTGCTATCACGTATGCTTAGCAGATATGATACCAGTGGAGCCCATAGTACTATTCTCTGGGTTGCTATCACATATGCTTTGCAGATATGTAGCCAGCATTAATTTTTGTTTGGACTTCCACTAAGAATGAATGAGATGCATACATGGAATGCAATCTGGTAGAAAATCCTTAAATAAGAATGAGCAAGACCAGGTTTCAGGAGCCCATGAGACTGAGCACCCCAGCCAAACCCTTGCTTTCACTAAAACCGCTGGACAATACAACCTGGTTGAGGTCATTGTTATCTAAGGTCTACCAGCCTGATCACGCTCGTTTGTACCCTCTTTTGCTCGTAATCTGATCACATATGTTTTGCCATCTATCACTTTAAACTAACATGTATGCAAAGCATCAGTGTTGGGGCAAGAGTGTTTTGACCTTTGATCAGAAACCTGAAACTCGCGCGCACTTCCAGCCCTTTGGTTATTACAAATAGTAATCTGTGTGTCAAGCAGGAGTGGTCCGTTCATGTCTATCTACCCCCTTTGTTGTCCCTTCTTTTCTTCTTCCCTTATGAGTTCCACTTATTACCTTCTATCTCATGTACAGGGGATGAATTACAACCATTTCCTGAAGATTGGTACCAACATGGCTACATAGAAAGTCAGCAACCTGTGACAGCAGACTATGTGGAATATGATGAGGGATCATATGATGATGGGCAGCGGTCTGACGAAGGATGGGTTCCAAGATGGGAGGATGACCGTATGGGAATGATGGAACATCCTATTAGAGGTGCACAATGACTGTATAGCTAGCTACTACACTGTAGTCCTCTACAAATCTTTTGTCCTCCTTGCAGTGTTCCTGTACAGGGTACTGATGCAAAGACCGGAAACACGACTATACCTCAGGGATATTCAGTTGACTAAACTGCAAAACAGTGCTCAAATGTTTCTCTTCAGCTTTATCTTAAAGATAAAGTCATATATTTTGTCCTGCAAGTACTAATGGTGAAAGCTTCATTGCGAGTGCAAAGGGCCTGTTTTTCATAAAGACTTTTTACACCATTCATTGAGGTCCTGCCCCTACCCTCTTTAGACTCTTGGGCAGTTTCTTGTTTAGTTTTTTAGCAACTTTTAACTGATTTTCTTGGGTGAGGTTATTCTGCTTGTCAGTTATTTATATGAGAAACCTATGCAAAAACGAGCTCATTCTGGTTTATTGTAATGTATACTGTGCCTTTGTTATTTAGAGTGGTAAGCAGGTCAGTACCCTAAGAGATCAACGTCATGGTAAACCCTTATGGGCAACTCGCTCCAAGGGGCATACCATTGGTGTATGTCTGAGAGAGAGACACCATTGGTGTCTATTGTCCATAGAAAGTGAAAAAAAAAAAAAAGACATAACGAAAGAAGGTGTCCATTTTACGGTAGTGTCTGCCTAAAAGAGAGTCAAAGAAAACAATNTCATAAAGACTTTTTACACCATTCATTGAGGTCCTGCCCCTACCCTCTTTAGACTCTTGGGCAGTTTCTTGTTTAGTTTTTTAGCAACTTTTAACTGATTTTCTTGGGTGAGGTTATTCTGCTTGTCAGTTATTTATATGAGAAACCTATGCAAAAACGAGCTCATTCTGGTTTATTGTAATGTATACTGTGCCTTTGTTATTTAGAGTGGTAAGCAGGTCAGTACCCTAAGAGATCAACGTCATGGTAAACCCTTATGGGCAACTCGCTCCAAGGGGCATACCATTGGTGTATGTCTGAGAGAGAGACACCATTGGTGTCTATTGTCCATAGAAAGTGAAAAAAAAAAAAAAGACATAACGAAAGAAGGTGTCCATTTTACGGTAGTGTCTGCCTAAAAGAGAGTCAAAGAAAACAATTCAAGAACAAAGGAGGGCAACTCTTCGTTTTTTTTATTAAGGTGGTTTCTGCCTTATAGAGAGTCAAAGAAAACAACTCAAGAACGAAGGGGGCGAACTTATGGTGTTGGCATTAAAGTGGTGTCTGTCTTATAATGAATCAAAGGAAATGATGGCAGAACTGCAAGGACCAACCTAACTTTAGCTGTCCGTTTTCAGAGGAAGAGAGTTGACTGCACACTGTATTTTTATCTTTTATTTCAGGATTGTTGAATACCTACTTTGAAGAGACCAAGCTCAACGTGTTGAGCGTGTATGATAACGTATCAGGCACGTGGCTGAAGATGCCGCTGTCGTGGGAGCTTCATGTTCCTGACGTCAGATCACGTGTTGTTGCTATTCAAGAGGCATTTCCAGCCTGGGACGATCAATTTGAAATCCTGGCGATGCTGAGGCAATGCAACTATGATCTGGACGAAGTCACTAATACATACATAACTTTACTGGCAGAGGACATGGCGAAGAAAAGGCCAGGAACTAAACAAAAAAGCCGCTCCTCTTCTGGGCAAGATCACGCGGCAGAGGTTGAATTGTTGAAGGAGAGGATTGAACAACTCGAAGGACAGCTTCGTGAGAAAGAAATGGAGCTGGAGGAATCCTGTTCAGCGAATGAAGACTTGAAAGTTAAGCTGAAGTCATCGGAAGAAATGGTTAGGAAACTTCAAATCAAAGGAACGAATTTACAACGAGAGATACAGCAGCTGAAATCAGTGCCAGAGCCACCGGTCCCTCAACCTGCGGTACAAGTAGTACCTTCACCCAAAGCACCAACGATTAACAAAGAGACTTGTCGGAATATTGCGTCAACAGTTCGAATATTTTCTCAGATGCTGGTTGAAATAAGAAACTGCTTCACCAGCGAAATGGATGGAATTGCTTCAGTTCTAGATCAAGCGCAGAGCTCCCTGCTCAAAATGAAAAACTTAGACCAGGGATCGAGCAAGGAGGTTATGGAGCTTCGCGCACTTTATCATAAAGAGGTCATGGAAAGAAAGCTTCTTTACAATAAGCTTCAAGAATTACGCGGCAATATAAGAGTTTTCTGTAGGTGTCGCTATGACCCTAAAGGTGACAGTGTTTTTACATTCTCCACAGATCAGGACTTGAATTTAACTTCGGGTACGGGACAAAAAAAGTCGTTCAGATTTGACAGAGTATTCACACCATCTAGCTCACAGGAAGAAGTTTTTCAAGACACTCTTCCACTTATTACGTCATGCGTTGACGGGTATAATGTCTGCATTATGGCCTATGGCCAGACTGGTAAGCTAAATAAAAAATTGTCAGCTCTCTAGTAGCCTGCCTAGCAGGCGCTTGGAAGTAGTGGGTGAAAGAGAGAACGGGCGCGCGCGAGGGAGACACGCGTGTCTCCTTCTCGCGCCCGTTTTTTCTTGTGCCGACTTCTTCCAAACGCCTGCTACGCAGGCTAGCTCTCTAGGGTCCGTGTTATAGATCTGTTTACTTAAGTTCGCCAATTCTTGGGATGGTCACCGCAACAGCTAGCCTGCGAATACAGCCGTATCTCCTTGCTCCTCGGCAGAAACGGCTTCATTCGCAGGCTACGCAACAGCGCGTGACGCCAATTACTGCGGGCCCGTAGCAGTTCCTCCCCCAACGGGAGATAGACCACAACCCTTAAAAAAACCTTAAAAACGAATAGGAAACTGGACCGAGTTAACTTTTGCAGTGCCTTCTGGGCCTGTTCGTCACTGGGGACGTGCTGGATAAGCTTACTTTCCCTCTATTTCTAACCATTCCCCCCTTTAAGAACTCCAACCTCCCGCTCTTTTCATTTCCGCCTCCCGTACCCCTATTCTCCCTGGCCCCCAAGCCAAAAGAAGCAATGCGGGTCTTCACCGCCGGCATGCCTGTCAAGTTGAACTCGACTCAACTTCGCAGGCAACGTGATTCCAATTTTTATTCCAGGGGCGGGGAAGACATATACGATGATGGGAACAGACCAAGACCCGGGTGTAAACATTCGATCCATCCTTGAACTTCTGAGAGTTTGCAAAGAGCGAACAAATGTGGATTACTCGATGTGCGTTTCCATGGTTGAGGTGTACAATGAGACAGTGAGAGATTTGTTGAGCGACAACAGCAGCTCACAGCAACTGAACATTATCATGAGGAGCAAACAGCTTGTTATCACTGATGTTACTGAGGTTGTTGTTAAATCGGCTTCTGA